TCTTATATGAAATGTGCTGTCCGTGAGTGCTATGCTTCATTCAAGAATATCATAAAGTTTCTGGTTCAGGGAAACCGTGAAAAAGAGTAAGTTGCGTTGAGTTATTTGAGTGCTTGCTTTTGTTTCTTAGATATCTGCTTCTGATTTTGATAATAGCAAGGTAGCACCGTTACCACACTTTATTATGGCTAATTTATATCTTGATGTCTCAGGGTGATAGAGATTATATTTGCCGAGGTTGACAAACATATAGACACAGGTGATTTGATTCAAGAATACAAGATGAGTGCTCTTCCTAGCCTCTATGACCACTTTGTCAAGCTGATCAAATATTTGGTAATGTTCTTTCTGTGGTACTGTTTCTTTGTTTAGTTTTAGTTTTCTTTTTCCTTCTAATATACTGAATGTGGCACTTGATCCTGTCTTTGTTTTCTTATCCCTTGTAGCTAGACAACAAGGAGGACGATAGAGATCACGTTGTAANTCTCTTCCAAGACATGCTGGAAGTTGTAACAAGAGACATTATGATGGAGGATTACAATATATCAAGGTTGGCAAGTTTCTAGTGCAATGTCTTGTGATATGAACATCAGAATCTTATATATTAAGTTGCCTATGTAGCTTGGTAGATTCGAGTCATGGTGGCACTTGGCATGGGGGAATGATCCCTCTCGAACAACAATATCAGCTGTTTGCATCTTCAGGTGCCATTAGATTTCCTATTAAACCAGTAACAGAAGCTTGGAAAGAGAAGGTTGTGCCAGATTGGGTTANAGATATAAGTTATATTCCTTCATTCTTCATATCTGTGNTCAAAATGTTAATGTCTCTATGTGCAGATCAAACGGCTATATCTTTTGNTGACTACTAAAGAGTCTGCTATGGATGTCCCCTCTAACTTGGAAGCAAGAAGGCGGATCTCTTTCTTCTCAAATTCATTGTTCATGGACATGCCTACGGCACCTAAAGTTCGCAACATGCTATCATTTTCGTAAGCCTTTTCTGGTCTTTTTTTATTTATTTAAATATGAATACACTACTTGGAATATATATGCTCACATATTGTTGGAAGATGTTTGGTTCTCCTGAAATTCCAGTTAAACATATTGTGTGAAGTTGATAGTGTCCTTAAGTCTTACGATGAGAAAAATAAGATTAGAACTGTTTTGTCATGTCTATTGTCACTGGTTTATAATCCTAATGAGGTATGTTTGCATTGTAGTTTTTAGTAACTGAACTTGTTGGTGTTGGTTTGTTATTTTTAATTCATTGCTTTTATTGAAGTTTTTCGTAACTTAATTGGATATTTTCTCTCTCTTTGTTATTCTAGTGTTTTGACTCCATATTACACTGAAGAGGTCCTCTTCTCCTTGACTGACTTGGAAACGCCAAATGAAGATGGTGTTTCGATCATCTTTTACCTACAAAAGATTTTTCCAGGTAATTTATATTTACATTCTCTGTTAAGTTGTAGCCTATATTTTTGAATATCGTCTTGGACCTGACTTTTTATCTCTAGATGAATGGAACCATTTCCTCGAGCGGGTAAAGTGCTCAAGTGAAGAGGAACTTAAAGAGTCTGATGAATTAGAGGAGGAACTTCGTTTATGGGCTTCATATAGGGGGCAGACTTTGACTAGAACTGGTGTGTACTTTTGGTTAATTTTCTATCCAGTGAAATATTAGATTGATACAATATATATTTGTTGTTAATCTTTTAATCTTTTTTNCAGTAAGAGGAATGATGTACTATCGAAAAGCATTGGAACTTCAGGCATTCCTTGACATGGCTATGCACGAAGGTGTTCTTCTCGAATTTATATCATACGACAAAGGGGCATACATTAATTCCCACAACTGATTATTGATGCTGAATTTTGTTTCTCCAGATTTGATGGAAGGTTACAAGGCTGTTGAACTAAATTCAGAGAACAATTCAAGAGGCGAAAGATCGCTCTGGGCACAGTGCCAAGCTGTTGCTGACATGAAGTTTACATATGTTGTATCATGTCAACAATATGGTATTCATAAACGATCCGGTGATCCTCGTGCGCAGGATATATTGAGGCTTATGACAAGGTGTGCAGAATAATCCTATTTTGTTGTCTTTTCTTTAACCTGTTTGTAACTTATGGCTTTGCTTACATTTGGCAGATACCCTTCACTCCGTGTTGCGTATATTGATGAGGTCGAAGAACCAGTGAAAGACAAGTCAAAGAAAGGGAACCAGAAAGTGTATTATTCTGTGTTGGATTATAAATCTACCACTACTATAAATAAGTCTACCATTGGGCGAACCATCAATAAGTCTACCAACCACTTAATAAACCAATCGCAAATAAATCTACCATCACATAAACGGTAAACTTATTCGCTGTCTCATTAATGATATTTTCGTAAATACGTTTTTTCTCTTCAAAGAAAATAACGTTAAAACGGGTATTAATAGTTTTTCAAGGTTGTTTGAGTAATTTTTAAAAAATAGCATCATTTTGATCAAAAATCAACTTTGTAAGGTTGTTTTAGTAAAACTCCCAAATAAATAGTTTTGCGGAAAATTAGAACTTTTCTCAGAAGTAAAAGGGATTATAATGTAAATTTTAGACATTTTATTTTTGAGGTACAAGAATCGTTAGACTGGGAAACAATGGCGATGATGAGCTTTTTGCTTCGGATTTCATCTCGATCGTCCATTCCAAATCGGATCAACGTCGCCGACCGTCTGATCCTCCGCCATCTCTGTGCCGGCGACCTTCGAGGAGCGATCTCGGCTCTTGATCAGATGGCTCGGGATGGGATAAGACCCACCGACTCGGTCACTTTCTCTTCATTCCTCAAGTCTTGTATCCGAGGGCCACGCGATTTTTGACTCGGGAAACTCGTTCGCGCACGGTTCGTTGAGTTCGACGTCTAGCCTAACTCGGTTCTCAATAGTTTGTATTCGAAATCCAGAGATTTGGCGCGAGCCGAGGATGTGTTTGAGACCATGGGGAGATTTGGCAAGCGAGATGATGTTTCGTGGAGTGCTAGTGTGATGGGAAGGAAATCGATGCGATTGATGAAGACTAGGCACTTTGAATCCGATGTCTGTGTATGTTGTTCTTTGGTCGATATATGTGTGAAAGGAGAGAACAATCTTGCTAATGCGTATAAAGTGGGATCAAAACCTCATATAACCCTCAAAGGAAAACCGAATTAACAAATAACCCGAGACTATTAAGGATTTATTATCTTTTTTTTTTCAATTCGAAATTGGCGGAAAAGACAAAAAAACCAGAGAAGTTGTTTTTAATTACCGACCCAACCTATTATTGACCCGACCCATGCGGATTATCCAACCCATCCCATGTAAATCGGATTTAAACCAATTCTCGCAACCACGATGGGAGGCAGAGGAAGAGGAAGCCGAGAAATTTTCGGATCAAAGGCATTCTTTGATTGGATTTAAATCGGAGCCAGAGGTAGAGGAAGCCGAGAAATTTCC